CATGGACTAATTGGATCTGACTTCCAACGTAGCTAAGCCAATCTCCAACTGTCTTGCCCAAATAAAGACGAAACCACGGTTGTGGTGTGAAGGTGTACGGAGGAGCAACACCCAAATATTTCCATTCCGAGTGCAGTCTTTTCGATCGGAATGATCGAGGTCTACTTTAAAAAGGGGCCGGTGTCTCTATAGATGTTGCAAGTCGTAAAGCAACCGAACAGCATGTCCACTATATTCAACTTAGAATTGATTACCGCTATGCCAAGCGTTGCTGGCAGATGTCAGGATCATAGTGTTCAGGGCGTCGTCCGTAAAATACAAGGCACTGAATTTCACCCTAACATAATCTATATCTGATTAGACCAAACCAGGACGAAACGGCCGTCGTGGTGTTCCAGTTCAGGTAGTAGCGACACCCAATTATTTCTATAATTTATGCGCTCTTTGCCATCGAAATAACCGAAGTTTACCTCAGTGTGATGCGAGTTCTCAATAGAGGTTGCGGGTTGCAAACCAAACCCAAAGCTTGTGTGCTGTATTCAATCTGGATTACTTTTGCTGTGTTAAGCCTTGCGTGAGAATCTCAGGACCTTAGTGTATGGGGAAGCAGCCTTGAACTACTAGGCTTTAGTTCCAACCGAGCTCAGGCTAACTCTGACTGCTTTGCCCAAATTAGGACGAACCCGTAGTCGCAGTTTGTCATGGTTGGGAGGAGCAACCCAAAATATTGCTATCCCGGACATGGTCTATGCGATCGGCATGACCGAGCTTTACCTAAAGTGAACCGAGGTCTCAATAGAGGTTGCGATTCGCAACCGAACCACACGACGTGTATGCTGTATTAACTTTGGATTGCTTCCCGGTCTGCCAAGCATTGCTCGCGGATCCCATAAGCATAGTTTTCTTAGCGTCAGCCCTTAGCTACTAGATTCTGAGCTCCAACCCAGCTCAGGCTAGCTCCAAATAATAACAAAACAAGCAAAACAAAACTTTTATTCTTGAATATGCGAGGCACGCCCATGGAGGCATGACCAGGTAGGTGCAACTCTACAGAGATTTTATGGCAACTATAATAGTGACAGTAGAAACTTGTTCATATGTCCATGATTGGAAGTGCACAGTAGTGGAAATGCGAAACAATAATTTAGCTGCCGTGAAGTCGGGACTAGTTTGTTAGGGCATAATCGGCCTGCCATATATTGCAGTCATACCTCGGCTAATAATGGCTTGAGAATTCTGAATGATCCATTGGAAGATACCTGAAATGCACGCTCGAGGGAGATAGGACAATATGGTGAGTTAGTGCATAAATAACGCAAAGGTCAACGGTGATATCGTGAAAAGTAAAAAAGACGACAGTATATGCGTGAAATCGTAGAAAGAAACGACAACATGCTATGCAGCTGTAGAAGTTCCAGTGTAACGAAGCTATCTAGAATGGTGACGTTAGTTGACTTGCCTGTGTAAAGTTATGGGCTGACTTTCGTCGGTGGCGAGCCACATTCGCCAAGTTGCAGTGTTTTTAAACGGACTTTTGTTGCTTTTTATATGAAGAACGCTTGCCAGGCAAATCCCACCACGTCCTGAAACACTGCCGACAATCCATTGTATGGCAATCTGTAACTGGCTATGTTTCTTGTTGAACGTTTGTTTGCTCGGTTATTCGCAGTCAAGTTGCGTCCCATTTTTCTGCTGGCTGACGCGTTAGGAGAGTGCCGATTGCGTTCCTAGGTTCTGTCATGTTTTGAACGAATGGCTGTGCACGATTGGTAGGTCAGGAGCTAAGCATTCTTTTTGAATATGATGTGTTAATCATCTGCAGAACCAGGTGAAGTCTCTGAGGGATATCCATTGAAATATGTTAAATCGTTGTTATTATGGTTCCGAAAAGAGAATCGCAGCTCCCTTGGGGTATGTAGTAAAATTGAATAGAAATATAGGAAAACACGGCCAATTTAGCGGTCAAAGCGGATTGAAGAGCTCTGAATGACCAATGGTTCCGGCTTTGAGTCGGCAGGAGAATGTGCCTTCCGAAGTCAAAAGGCGTTCTCCAGGCAAGAGGTATGTGGAAGAGATAGTGTTAGGCAAACTGAACCCAATGGTTCAAGCCTCGGAAAGATTGTATCCGCGCAAGTTAACGAATGATTTGTCAGGGTTAGTAAGTTGGAAAAACGGCTGAAAATCTTGCGCTCATGTCCAGATAAAGGAACTGTTGTCGAAACGATGGACAATTCCTTGGGTGCGTGTCGTCGTACCTGTACCAAACTCGGGAAAACAAGACAACGAACAGCGACAGCCACACAGACAGACGAAAGGGTGCAGCTGAAACGCAGTCGCCCAATTGCAGAGATAACTGAACTATTGTACCCCTATACATGTATTTGTTATTTAAAGATCGCAAATACACCTGTATCATAAGTGTCGAAGTACGACGAGAAACGAGCAGAACACGGATCAGTAGAGAATAAAAGGTTGTTCCAAATTAGGAATAAGGATGAAGCAAAGAAAGTTTGTGGGGTCCCAATGCGCATATGCCCAAGCTGTGTAAACCGGAGAGAGAAGGACTAAGTGTGTAGGTTTAGGGAAAGAATATCACTCAGAAGAAGCGAGGGGACGAACAGGGACGAAACATTTCGTGATGTACGAGTTTTGGGAGGCACAATATCTAATTATTTCAATTATGGATACGGTCATTTCTATCAACATGATCGAGGGTTGCTTCAAAGTGAAACTTGGTCACAACAGCGGTTGCGATTAGCAAATTAACCACAGTGCCCGTTCGATATTTTCTACGTTGAATTGCCTTCCGCTTGTTAAGCGTTGCTTGCGCAGCTCAGTGGCACAATTTTCATGACGTCAGACGTGAACTACTAGCCTCTGAGTTCCACCCTAGCTTAGACTGTTTCCACTTGCTGAGTCCAAACTAAGACGAAACCGCGGTCGCGTTTTGCCAGTGTTTAAAGTAGCAACACCAAAATGCTTCCATTTTATGCTACGGTCCTTGCGATTGCATTGACCGTGGTGCTCCTCAAGGTGAACCGAGGTTATAATATTAGGTTGCCAGTCGCAAACAATCATTCAGCATGTTTACAATATTCAACTTTAAATTACTTTCCGCTGTTTCAAGCTTACTTCGCGGATACTAGTAGCATAGTGATTAGAGCGTCAGCACTGAACTAGTACGCTCTGCGTTTCATCCCATCTCTGGCTATTACAACCTGATGCGTCCAAACCAGGAGGTAACGGCGGTTGCGGTGGGCCAGTTTTGGGAGAAGCAACATCCAACTATTGCTTTCGCGGGTACGATCTTTATGGTTGAAATGACCGTGCTTTGCCTCAATGTGCAGCGAATTCTCAATAGAGGTTGAAATTTGCAACCCAAACACAGCGTTTTTGCTATATTTAACACTGAACTGCCTTTCACTGAGCCAAGCGTTGCTCGCGAACCTCAGTAGCACAGTTTGCAACTCGTCAGTCGTAAACTGCCAGGCTCTGCGTCACCTCCTACATCTGACGACGAACTCGTTACAGCCATACGCTGCTTGCAACAACAACTGGCTTCCATTACCATCACCAGACGAAGGAGCAACTTTCGATCTAATCAACGGAGTACTCGGAGGGTTAGTCGTCTCCGTGGCATATGCTGGTACCACCGTAGGTTCGGCAACAAGGCGAAAAAGTGCGTGAAACGATGTCGGTTTTTCGATTCGGGGAAACGACCGTGCCACTACGTAACGGCGACGACGCAAGCCGGCATACGCTAGCCAGGTCGCCTATTCTACTTGCGGGACGTAACATCCGGCATGCTTTTCCTCGTAGACACGGGTGCCCAAGTCAGTGTAGTACCCCCACGTCCAAAAGACCTAAAATACTGCTCGGTATACAGCCTCCAAGCAGTAAACGGCACGCAAATCCGATCCTATGGAGAACGTTCTATCCCTCTAAATCTCGGTCTCAGTAGATACTTCCCTTGGATTTTCATCATAGCTAAAGTGCCTACTGCAATCCAAGGCCTTGACTTCTTGCGGCACTGTGGCATTATCGTATATTTTAAACGCTGTCAGATCATAGATGGCCTAACTCAACTATCGCAGGCTGTTTTTAAAATTTTCGATATCTATGAGCCCGAAGTTTGTCCCGCCTCAAGCTTCTTCGATGTATTTGGATCTGTTGCGCGAAGTTGCCAGCATAACGAAGCCCGGACATCATCTTGGTGATATCAAACATGAGGTCGTTTACAGGATGACGACAGCAGGCAGTCCAGTAGTTCATCACCCTCGGCAACTAGCGCCACGTAACCTTTCCGTAGCGAAGGCCAAGTTCGATCATATGTTACAATTGGGCATAATACGTCCATCCAGCAGTATGTTGGCATCGTCCCTACATATGGTCCCGAAGAATAAATCCGGGGACTGGAGACCATGTGGGGATTATATGGGACCGAACGCCATTACCGTCCCAGACATATACCCATTCCGCATCTCCAAGATTTCTCATCCTCGCTGTACGGAAAGAAAGTGTTCAGCAAGTTAGATTTAGTACGGGCATGCCATTAAATCCCCGTTCCTCCTCAAGATTTACCTAAGACTGCCGTCACTACTCCCTTTGGCTTATTTGAGTTCTTGCGAATGTCATTTGGTCTTCGTAATGCTGCTCAGACGTTTCAGCATTTTATGGATCAGGTCATTCGCGAGCTGGACTTCGTTTTCGTCTACATCGACGATGTCTTAGTTGCAAGTCGAAATCATGACGAACATTTGCGTCATCTGCGGCAGCTTTTTAAAAGATTTACGCATTATGGAGTAGTTATCAACGCCACCAAGAGTCCGTTAGAAGTTGATATGGTAGAATTTCTTGGTCACCGTGTTTCCTCCGCTGGACTTGCACCCCTACCGGACAGAGTGACAGCCATCACTGAGTATCCCATACCTGATTCCATCAAAAAGTTACGCCGGTTCGTTGGCACGGTTAACTTCTACCGAAGATTCATTCCGCACTGTTCAGTTAGCCCCCCCCCCCCCCCCCCCCCCCCCCCCCCCCCCCCCCCCCCCCCCCCCCCCCCCCCCCCCCCCCCCCCCCCCCCCCCCCCCCCCCCCCCCCCCCCCCCCCCCCCCCCCCCCCCCCCCCCCCCCCCCCCCCCCCCCCCCCCCCCCCCCCCCCCCCCCCCCCCCCCCCCCCCCCCCCCCCCCCCCCCCCCCCCCCCCCCCCCCCCCCCCCCCCCCCCCCCCCCCCCCCCCCCCCCCCCCCCCCCCCCCCCCCCCAGCCCACTTACCCAACTACTCAAATTAGATGCTAAAACATTCAGCTTTACCAAATCAGCTAAACGTGCATTCAGCTAGCTAAAACACTAGCTAGCAACTGCCACTCTTCTTGCGCATCTGGATCCTAAGGCCCCATTTCAGTTAACGGTGGATACCTAAGGTGCAGCTGTAGGTGGTGTGCTTCAACAAAGACAGAGAGGTGAATTGTATCCAATTGCCTTTTTCTCTAAGAAATTGCAGCCTGCCGAACGACGTTATAACACGTTCAGCAGAGAACTCTTAGCTATTTACCTCAATGTGCATCATTTCCGACATTATTTGGAAGGACGTACGTTCACGATATTCACCGATCATAAGTCGTTAACATGCACTGCGTTCCGCTTCTGCTCGTCTTTCCCCAAGAGAAACTAGACAATTAGACTACGTTTCCCAATTTACCTCTGATGTACGGCATTTGTCCGGCGCGAATACCGCCGTAGCAGATACCTTATCAAGAGCGGAAATCAACGCTCTATTCAAACATTCCTTCATTGACTTCCAAGAACTAGCCCCAGCGCAGCATCAGGATAATCAGTTTCTTCAACAACTGCATGAAACCAACCTTCAAGTGAAAGCCATTCCGCTGCCCGGTAGTTCAGGTGTTCTGATGTGTGGTCTTTCGACAGAAATACCACGACCTGTCGTACCACCAAACTATCCACGAATCATCTTCGATTCAATCCACGGTCTATCACATCCAGGCAACCGTGCAACTCGCAAGCTTATTTCTGATCGCTTTGTTTGGCCACCACTAAACAAAGAAGTGCAGATCATGGTGAGAAATTGCCTCCCATGTCAACGTTCAAAAGTGCAACGGCATACTCAGGCACTACTTGGCAACTTCGCCGTTCCCGATGCTCGTTTCAGTCATGGGCACCTAGACACCGTTGGTCCACTGCCGCCGTCGAATGGATACAAGTACCTACTGACTTGTTTCGATCGCTTCACACGTTGGCCCGTGGCAATTCCCATCGCAGACATTTCTGCAGAGACGGTTGCACATAATTTTGTGGCTCATTGGGTCGCGTACTATGCTATACCATTCACCATAACAACTGATCGCGGCGCGCAATTTGAGCTGACGATTTTTCGAGAGTTAACCAATACTCTCGGAACCAAGCGTACAAGAACAACTGCGTACCACCCATCATCGAACGGGTTAGTCGAACGTTTCCACCGTCATCTCAAAACAGCTTTGATGGCATGTTCCGATACTACCCATTGAACAGAAACCTTGCCGCTGGTTTTATTAGGTCTTCGAACGACACCCAAAGCTGATTTAGGTCGCTGCACCGAGGAGCTGGTATATGGTACCACGTTATAGCTCCCGGTTGATCTCGTTCAACTGACCGATATCGACGCTATGGATCCCTCAAACTTTGTCCATCGGCTACGTTCATCTATGCGTGAATTGTACTTTATCCCCACGCGCGCATACACCGACAAGTGTTACATACCGAAAGATAGCGAAACTTGTTCACACTTTTGGGTACGAAATGCTGCAGTCCGCAAGCCATTACAACCACCGTACGAAGGATCATTCGCAGTGATCGCTAGAACCGAAAACATTATATGATCAACAAAAACGGTAAAGTCGATGCGGTTTCCGTAGATCGTCTTAAACCCGCGTACATTGAAAAACCTTGTGAACAACAATCTACTGATTCTCACACGACATCGTGTACGCAGCAGACACTACAGCTCGTTGAAGATGACCCGCAGCATGCAACACCTAAAGCTAAGCCACAAGGAGACATTAATATGCGGCAGACACGGTCAGGAAGGACAATCCATTTTCCAGACGGCTTAGTGTATCACACATCTTGACATTATCATCTTGTCCTGCTGATCACTTGTTAGTACCGCTTGCTGCCAGTCTCCTCCAGTTTGTTGTTCTCCAGATTCCGCCAGGATGCAACTGAACATCGCGCACAAAGAAGAGGCGGATCATCCAGTCTAGGAAAATCCAACATCCGTGCATTTCCCATCCTGCACTGCTCCCAAATCGTCCATTGTACCCTACACACAAAATATTAGCCTGCATGCCTCCCACACCTCAGCCTCGGGTACTTCATGCGACACTGTACCAGGTGGAGACCAGATTTTACCAACTATTCCCACCGGGCATTTTCCTCCTGGTCGCTGAAACGTCGTGCGACTAGCGCTCTGGTGGGGAGGCATGTAGTGTACCTATTACATTTACTGCACAACATTCCGGTCAGCTGATAACGTCACCAGCTGTATCGACTATTCTTTCAAACATCTCATACACTTCAACATCGACCAACATTCTTTTGGAATTGCCGGCTGACTCTAGACCACCTCGTGTACAACGTCTGGGAGCCCCAAAATTCATTCATTGGGATACACGTTTTCAATCCCTTTTGGCATCCAAGCATGAGGGGTTATTAATCCAGGAACTCCGCAACCTAAAAGCGTTACCACTATTCGCGTTTTACCAAAATACGATAAGTGGACACGATAAGTGGAGACCTTAAGTTTGTTAAAGTGACTGAATTTGGGATTTCGCTCGCCGGATGCTCCATCGACGGAAGCTAAAACGATGGGTTCGAATTGGATAACGTACTTGATGTATGTACGATCCTCCGAAAATGCAGGTCGCGGTGACTTTATTTAGTAGCGTATCACATGCGTCGCGTTGCCGTGTTTTTAGACAGACATTTGTGGCTTTTTATAGGAAGAAGGCTTGGCTGGCGGTAACCCTACGCCCTAGAACACTGCCGCCGAACCATTTTCTGGAACCGGATTAACCAGAAGCCATCAGTTGGTGCCGCGAAGAGGTTGTTTGGCTAGCCAGCCGGGTGCACACCGAATATCGGGTGTGCGGACGTAGCTAAGGAAAGTGCAACGCAGGCCACCCCTGGTCACTCTGTAGGCGCAGGCTGTCCTATGGAGGCCACTGTGTCAGACGCACCCGAAACAGGATGCCGCCAAGCGCGGTTTCGCTGCTTAAACTTGTGAATGTGACGCCGCATTTGTAATTGAATTCTTTCAGGCGTGGGAAGGCGTGGAATGCAATGCTTGTATTGGATGACCCACGACCGAGGTTTTTGTTAGATCGAACAGATACGTACGAATATAGTTGACTGTATTTAGTGGCGATTCACGATCGCCAAGTCAGAGTGTTGTCAAACTGGCAGTTGTGGCGGTTTATAGGTAGTACGCTTTTCAGGCAATACCCACCACGTCCTGGAACATTGTCTCTAAACCACTTGCTGGTCTGGGTTATACCCGAACCACCCAGCTGGCACAACGGGGAGGTAGTTTGGCTAGCCACCCAGGTTGTACAATTTCCTTTATTTTCGTAACTCAGGGGTACTTCCTTTGTATACGTTTAACTTGTACGCAAATTATATGCTGCTTAATTTAGGCTGTCATAACTGTGCGGTCGGCACCAAAGCATGTAATGGTTTTGAATTTCTTTTATTTTTATGAACACAAGCATTATGCGCAGTTACAGCTACCGCTCCTAAGTTTATTATAGCGTCTTCAGTCAGGTATACGTTAAATAAATACATTTAATATTTTGTACATGGTTAATATCGGGACGCTTAACAACCTGTAGAAATAAAGGTAGCAGCCATCCTCACCGACCATCGTCTACATTTTACGCTACGAACTGTTTGTGAGCTCGTCGCTTCCTTCTTCACACTTAAGAAATCAGTAAACACACGGTGCATATATGATTCTTGTACAATGTTGTAAACATTGCAAATGTTTTTATTGGTAGTAGTACAGTGTTTTCGGGCGGGCAGCGCACAAATGTCTATTTACAACTATTATTAAGTTTAAAACCAGCAGGTAGTACATGCGATAAGTTGAATTACTATATCCCTGCAAAAACTGTAAACCCCCTAGATTTAGCCTAACGAACGTCCAGCACGGCAAAGCACACAGGCGGATGGATTGTTTAGGGCTGTCGGATGGTAAAATAGGGCAACTTGATGCTGCGTTGGCTAAGTGGCCGCAAATTTTCTTTAGTGTAATTAACTGCGGCAGATTTCGAACACCATAATTCCATTGTTTGTGCACCGTGTTCTGGGGTACAGCGTACAAGACGTTTGATAAATAGTGATAGGTAGCATATTGATAGGCCGCCATAAGGCGCTCTTACTAGGTAACCCAAGACGTGCCCAAAAGCGTTCAGTCATCCGACTGCCAGTGAATGTTTTCCAAAAGCTTGCGTATAAACCCACTTAAGTGCTTTCGGCCCATAAATGCAGCCCCAACCCAAGGTGTGCATGTACAGGCCATCCTTAACAGACTTACTCTGAGTGACAGCTTGTTGATAGACGGATGGATCTTCCGTAGCCAGTTGAACAATCGATAGTTGAGAGCTCACGACAAGGGTAGTTTTAAATGTGTGGCGCCTGCATTCGGTTTGCCTTGGGTCTATATATGGGTAGGCGGCGCGTAATCAAGATAAAAGGCCAGTTAGAGTAATATGTCATCCCATATCAGGATCACTGGCTTAGCACTGGAGCAAGTTCATACCCTCCCTTCATTGGCGTATCCGCATTCGGAATTACGAAACGTTTCGGTTCATCAGTGTGCTCATTCTGCGGCTGTTTGGTACGTGCAGGCCAAACGCGGTCGAAACATCGCGACCATACAACACTATCAACGCGGCAATGCGACCGCTACTGCCCCGTAAGTGATTAGAATGCTGATAAGGTTTGACCAAAGTGGGGTAATGTGCAATGCAAGGCAAAACTGTAAACCGGCGTCCTCACTGGTGGTTTTCTTTTTGCGCGGTTATCACGCTATATTTAATATGAAGGATATCAATAATCCTTAACTATTCCAACGCTGCGAAACCACTCCATTTACTGCGCAGAGGAACTAAAATACATAAAATGCATAGTATGGTGCGGTTCAAGACCAAGTTTTGGAATCACGCAATTTGCGGAAGCGGCCTGCACTTTGTCGCTGGTTTTAGATCATTACGCAGCTCCGTTAGAGTAACTTTACCGATAAGGCGACTTTTCGTGCGCATGGAACTGAGCCATCCTATAGTTTGGTAAAAACTAATCCAGGACAATACAGTGCTTCTCGTGTGCAGCCTTGCACCAACCTCATGCCATTGGTTGTTTTAAATGGTCAAATATTTGGGACCACTTTTTTCTGGGTTGAGACAGGTAACTTATTATTTAGCTTGCCGCCGCCTTTCTGTTCCAAAGATCTTCTACAATAAATGACTGCAGGCCCGCCTTATTCCAAAGCTGAGGAGAAAGTACATTGTGCACCGCTTAGTAGCAACGGTATTGCGCATAAACATATTACGCACAAACCGTATGTGCGTATAATCGTAAGGCTTTCGGCCACCGTTGGATCGGGCGGGGAGGAGCAAAAGACTTACCTCCATGGTCACTTGGTTTGAACATGTTGGATTTCTTCCTATAGGGCTAGTTGAAACTGTGGGTTTAAAAACCAAGCCTCATGCTCTTGAAGACTTAAGCCAAAGCGTTTGGATCTAGTTTAGTGTGATCACTTAGACATATGAACGTCCTAACCAACAGCATCAGGCGACTTTTACACTGCAAGCAAAACGCCGGGGGCTTAGTAAAACTCTACTTCGGTGCTATTTCTGACCAATCAACCGACGCTATGTAAATAGTTATAACCTCCATAACGCATAAATTGTCTTCTGTTAATAAGCTGACAAAAGTTCTCAATGGTGGGTCGTTAAACTAAATGTCGTATCCCTTGCCTAAAGAAAACCTGACGTAAACATGAGAAAATGCAACCCGATAACGGTAAAATTATATGGCCCCAAACCTTTTATGGGGTAGACGGGTTGTAGGTAGCATGCCCTTTACTGTAACGAAAACAACGAAATAAAAGCTATTGTTTGCCTGGAATGCGTGTGTTGGATCCACTACGGCATTTCCCATTTCATGCTGCCATCAAATCTTGTAGCAATAATCGCATATCTAACATCCATTCCCTAGGTCTAGGGTGGTCAGGTTCATTGCTGAGACGCCTATCAGGAAATGCGAAGCATTGCACTGACTTACTTTTATTTTGTCTGCCTGCTGTCTACCTTTCGGTTGACCCACTACTAGTCGAGCTGCGTGGCCAACCGAATACGCGCGTCACACCTTGCGGACTATTCCTGCCGTGTTCCATCAACTTATCGATCGTTCAACTATTACGAAATCTCCGTTCATTCATCTGCGTGCGGGCACTCAGCATAAGTCTGTTTAGCATTTCCGGTGCAGGCACACCAAATGGTAGAGCAACGTTATTCTTCCGAAAAAGCGTAGCTGCCTTGGTGCGCGTGCGTTTGGAAAAGATTCACTTACTATTGGTTGGCCGAAAACTAAGGCAACTCTAGAGTAAGACTGTGAACGCGCTTTAGTGCGGTTGTTCAACCAGCAACACCTTTGTAGATGTTCCGTTTCCTTCTTGCCCTAACCTTGTCCGCACTTGCCCAAGTAGCTCTCCAGCACTCTCAGGGGGCCACAGCACTATTTTCTTAGTATCCACATGTCATCTTAAAGTCTAGATCCCATAAACATATTTACACTACCCTTGATTCCTAGCTTTCGGTTGTTCGACCACCAATTGGCCCTTGCATCTCTTTCATCGCGACATTCCTAATAGAGATAGCAAGAAAGCAATATTTTTCATGGTGTTCCCAAGCTTTTGCATCCCTCTGATCACGATGGGCAAACACATGACCGAGAGCAGTGGTGCTACGTCAGCGAAGCACTCTCTGTTGACAATGTTATTGTCAAATCCCCAAAAAGAGTTGAGTTATCAAATAAGTACCCTGGCCGCGGTCCAAGACTAATGAAATAAATATTACACTCCAAAGGAATGCCACGAGTTCTGCTGGATGGCTGGTTAACCTGTCGGGTACCGACCTTCCTGCAATGATAAAGCAAAGAGTTTCAAAAGAAGCATGGGGGTTATCTTTGCCACCATTCTTAGATAGACTGAGCGCCATTCCGTCAAGACCATGGTCCAAGGATGGCGATGGTTGACAGTGTAAAGCGGACAATATTTCTGTCAAACTGTACAGCGAACAGGGTATGGCTACCGGGTACGGGAAGGGCCTGAAAAGCTTAACCTATTTCTAGACACTGCGATTATTTAAAGTGGGTGCTGGAATTCGCATAATTTCTTGCGTCACTGGAAGCGTCATTGGGACTAATCTTTAGGGTAGAGATCTGTCGTTTATATTTAGGGGTCCGAGAGCGCAGCAACAAGCTAAACTTTTTAGCTTTGTTTGCATTATTTAGTGCATCTATTTTTTGATTGCTTTGCTGCTTAGCGCTGGCAGAAAACCGATTTGCCATCTTGTTTGCGTTCAAGATGTGAGTAAATTTGAAGCTTTTGTTGGGGAATCATCGAAGCTGACGCATTCTGTTGTGCATATTAGGTTGGGTTTAACTTTTAAATGATTGCTTTATCAAATGTGGCACGAAAGCTGGTGAGTCGAAATCGAAACGTACTTCCTCATAATCCAGCTCAGCTGACTGATCCAGAGAATCAGATATAAAGAATTCGTCCCGATTTCTTGATCTAACGCGTACGGCAACGGTTGTTCAGTTAGCGATGTGCAACGAGCGGTATTCTACGATTGCTTCTGTTTTGGTTTGGTAGGCATTATATCGTTTTAAGAAAACCGAGCAATGCACTAATCTGTGATCATTAAGCGGAAACTCGCGGCCGACTAAAACGCGCGTTGCTGGGAGGCTGAGAGCAAATAGTAAGTCAAGAAAAAGTTTCTTCCTGCTTGGAGCAGATACAGGTTGCGTTGGGTCCCTAAATTTATACATGCTTGTAAGCTCGCATACTTCGTTGTGGCAGCAGGTGGAAACCAGTTTAACTCAGGCAGGTTGTAATCACCTGCGACGAGCCTGTAGTCGCACGATAGGTTTGATGCCTGTGCAGAAGAAACTATAAGTGCGTTTTAACCCTTAGTTGCGGTCTCGGGTGGTCTGTAAACGCACCCAAATTGTACCGTCCATTCCAGGACATCAGCCGTTATCCATACTGAATCCATCGCCTCAGCTGCGTTCATAATGTCTGATTTTTGCTCGGTATTTTTAAAATATTTTGCGCACCCGCCCCTCGTTCATGCTCACGAGGTTGCGTACACAGCTGATAGGCGTGAACTGCGTAAAGCCCTGAAGCATGAGGTGTAAACCATGTTACCGTGACAAATATTGCATCCGGGTCAGCGACGACAGACAGAGGACGCAGGATATGCAGTTTATGTTTTACGGACCAGGCATTTATAAGCAGGTGTGAGAAAGAACGCTTTGGCCTAATGGCTTTACGGATGACGAAATGAAGTGGTTACTAGCTACTTCGCCATTTGCAGTAGTTGTAGGAAGTGAGTGAGGCGACGGTGCGGTGGGCAGTTGGGCGACGGGGTGTTTGGAGCCAGTGTGAAACTGTCGCTGCTCATACCCACTTGGTCTAAGCATTGCGCAGATTGCGGAATAAGAAGCAGTGGACTAGTTGGCCTATGTATCTGGACCGACGGCATAAGCCTGAAGGATGTAGCAGGTGAGCAACAAGCCAGTAGCGCATGAAGTTGGGCGGAGCTGTGTAGATTGCCAAATATAGTACTCGCCGCAGGTGAGTTGGTTGCGGTGGTGGTAGGCCTTGCCATCGCACTAGCATCCGGGGTATGATTCGGTATAGTCCGTCTTGGTGGGCAGTACTATCATTGCCTTAACTTGGTAGCGTTGTGGAGTTGTTCACAATTCAATATTATCGTGCGCAATATTCTATTAGCTCCTGTCCTCAGGTTGATTGGAGCTGGGAATTTGCTGATGCTTTTTGCCATCCTTGCAAGTTGTACCGAGTTTTCTGCACTAAGTTTCACTTTAACGATTGTGCTCCTAAACTGGTCCGTCGAAATGCCATCCGGGACCTTTACTGCAAGTGCGCTGATCACCATATTGTCCCAACCTGGTTGCGGCGACTGTTTGTCTACCGACCTTGATATATTAAAAGAATGTATAGGCGATATAACCAGCGTAGTGATTGTCTAGACGTGTTCCCTTCGCAAGCTTGTTTAGCAATAGTAGCCTTCGTAGTTTTGGACACAGTGTTCTCTAAGAGGTTATAGGTCGCTAGTGTTTTTGGATGGATACGCTGGGCGCTTGTTGACCAAAGCCTGTTTTGATGTTAGGATTTGTCGCCGCCCAACTTCTACTTCTGTTCCGCGGACTGAATGTAAGCTGGTTCAACATTGTTGCCTTGCGAAGTTATTCAGGGTTAGCTGTAAGGGTAGACAATACCGCCGCAACCTTTACATTCAGTCTGAGGAGAGCTGCAAATTATTTACACGCTAGTTTAGTCGTTGAACCCGCAGTGCATTCTCTGAAATGTTATCATCCGCAAGGATTGCACGCCTACATGCGTCCACCGATATATCGTCCGGAACATTGGGCGCTAGTGCGCGACACAATCCATTCCCGCAGGCTGTATTATATGGTGCTATGGCCACTGCTTTTCTTCTTTTCAAACTTGAGATCGCGGACCCCAGCTGCTTAGGTGAACTCGGTGGTGTGGTCCGTACACGAGTTCTTTTGGCTCGTCGCGCAGGCAGCTTAGTTTGCTGGGCTCACTTCGATCGTCGTGGAATCTTTCTAACATCTCCGAGTTAACAGGGCTATTTAATGTGGCCTTAGCTTTTCGTCAACCATTGTCCCTCCCGGTATAGGGGTGGAGTTCTAGTAGTAGTTGAACACTTAGTATTAACTGAGGCATTTCCTATATTGTTCGCAGGTTGGCTGCTTTGGTCCATGTATGAAGTTGCTTTATGGATAGTACAGGTCCCAGTTTTGAATTCACCCAAGGAGGCAAGCAATCTAGTATCCACATCAGAAAAAATGTCAAGGTCAAAGTAGAGAAGCCACTTAGGTTCCCGGGCGCCGGAACGGTGCCACAATTCGCCTGCATACATCAGGTTTGTGCAGAACTCTTGCATAGGCTATCGTAAAGGTATTGCAAGGTCGTGATTGTTGCCACCAACTATAGGTCAAACAATGGCGTATGTCTACTAAATTCGCTTTAACGAAAGAGAATATTGTGCGCCGAGCAATAATTATAAAAATTATTTAAAGTGGGCATCGGCTTTTCGTAACTTTTTACTCAGGCTTTTAAATCTCCAACGTAGGTGATACAAGACACAAACTTATATCAGTATTCTACTTTCGGGGTGCAGTTGTGGGCGGTCTATACCTTTACAGAGTCATGTTAGGCAATTCAGGTAACAACTTGAGATAACCAGATACCAACTTCATCTGGTTCGCTAACAGGTTACTCCTACCGATGAACTAAGTTGAGCCAGGCTACCGTGACATGCGTGCACCGTCGTACGACTCGTTCCTTAGCCAA